CCTAGAGGGAGAAGGTTGACAGTGCAGACAGTCCTTGGTTTACAAACTTCATGTGTTCCTAAAAAAAACATAATTGTAAACCAGATCAATAAATCCTATTAAAACCAGCAATGGAAAATGGCTGTAAAAGTGTGATGGGGTTGATCCCTAGATCATACTCAGCTAAAAAACACAATTGAATAAATTGATATAATAGATAATAATATGTTTTCCCACATTCGAGTGTCTGAATTCCTGTGTTTATGCAAGTGGAACAATGTTTGAAAGACCAAAATATGGTCCGAAAGTATACTACAGTACAGTATTTGTATGAGCAAATTTCATATGCTGGATGTTCATAAACTGGAGACTTGCCTCCTTTATTCTTTTACGTTTCTCGGTCACAAAATAACAAAACTGGATCAAGAGTCATCGTTCCAGACACTCGAGCCTCCGGATCAGTCACTTTTACTCTGCTTGTACTGGAAGCTGACTGTTCTCCCCAAATCGTATATTAAATATTTATCATGTTTGACCAGTGGCCACACAGTCAAAACAATTACTATTATGTCTTGTTGTAGTTTGTGATATGCACTGTAGGAGTTTTACATCTGTTGAGGAAATTGTAATGTGCTCGTATTCACATTTCATAGTACATCCTATCAAATTAAAAAAAAATTTCTTCAGATTTAGCTTCTAAAAGGATACGTAGTTAGGTGGAGTCCATATTGGGACCTTAGAAGGTCTACAAACAGTATTTTCTCTTTTGAACTTATTGTGTGTCACCTTGTGGTCTTGGGTAGGGCAAGGGGGAATGTTCCAGGGGATTTTAAAACTGGCTAATTCAAGATTGGGTCATTCAGTAAGAATAGTTGGGATAGGTTCTTGTTTGGCTCCTGCAGTTAGATAAGTGGTACAGTATTCCAGTTCATTGTGGAATCTTTGTATGTTTACTAAGTGGCAAATGCTGCTTTTGAGGAACTCAATATGGAAGAGAAGGTTTATCATAATTTTAAATTTATTCAATTTTCAGACTCTTGTTACAAGTTTTGGTTCCTGGGAACTCAGGTTTTCAAGCCTGTAGTTTTACTGACCACAGTACTCTGTACAATATATGAAAGAAAGTTGGATGTTAGGATCAGTCCCTCGTTTTTCACACACGCCATAACTTCTTAACGATTAAAAAAAAATTATATTCAAATATCACACAATTTCATTCTGTCAATCCAGAAAGAACAAAACATACACACTCATACTTTGCTTAGCACTCAGGATGTCTTCCTGGAAGAGTGAGGGCTCTTCCAGCATTGTATGAGTGGTATGTGAGAGCTTCGTTGAGGTATTGTAATACTGTAGTACAAGTATTCCCTGATTTACGAAAATGTTTTGTTCCTGTAAAGCCGTTCCTAATTTTTGGGGGTAAACCAATGAATGTTTCCCATCATAAGAACTGAGATATGTTCCAATGAAAAAGAAATAAAAAATCCCAAAATATCTTAAAATGCCACAAAACATTTTTAATTAAAAATATTTGGTGCACCTGATGATTATGACTCAATAATAAATTCTTTCTCTGACAACTCTTCACCTTTATTGTACATAATTAGCAAATTAAATTTTAGATTATGGAGTAATTTTCTTTTACAATATTTAATTTTTCATATACAGTATTACATGAGAGTTAATAAGGAGAAATTGGACAATCAGGCAACTGGCTGAGTGACTTTGTGCTGGTGAAGACGAGTCTACTTGTCTTTAGTGAGTCTGAGGAGTAAGTTTTATAGTACAGTACAGTAATTGTAAGAGAATGATGACACATTGAAAGCTTTGTAGACTTACCAGTAATAACATTGCAAGTGTGAGAAAATAATGGTAGTAAAAAACTGCATTAGATTAGGTTACTTTCATTATCATTTAGGAAAGAATTATGAAAATGTCAAACTTTTTTTGGTAACTTCAGGGTTTTTTTTTGTGTGTGTGTAAATTAAATCTTAGGAAAATTTTGTTTTTCTCATACCAGGTAGCTGAATTTTCTTAAACGAGGCTTCCTAAATTAGGGACTACCTGTACTGATAATTCTATAGATAGTCAACATATCATTTTATAAATAAAACAATTATTATAATAACATGAGAAAGTATGAGCTAACAAATACTAATAATTAACATAGCCAAGTGTAGCACATCCTCACTACACTCAGCTTCCTCCACCTACCTTAACACTTGCATTGTCACATTCAAGTGATGTTTTTTCTTAATAATTTTGTCACATTTATGGCACTAACACCTGTAGGCATTTTACAGACATAAATCTAAAATGCTGTCAGAAACACAAGTGCTGATTGGCTCAGAGCATATGTTGCTCTCATAGGTGGTGAGCAATGAGTGGTTTCTTGTGTAAATTTTGAAATACCTTACGGGTTTTTTCCCTAATAAAAATTTTCTCCGGAACAATGAGCTCTATATAAATCATCATTATATAGAGTAGCACTAAGCAAGGTATGAGTGTACAGGTACAGAGTATTTGAAGATGCTGAGAGTACATAATCATTTACTAGGATTAATTTCCATCCTTAAGGGATAATATATTAGTCACATAGTAAAATATTAAGGAGATAAATATAGTACAGATATTGTAATACTATACTGTATATATCCTGAAGATTTTGTGCATATCTACTATATTGATTCTAATACCAATTTGATTCTTATTAGGTTTTGTATGAGAATCTACATAAAGCTACACGACTGGAGAAACTGGTGATTGGTCGGTCGTGTTACTGGAGATCACAGATCTTTGAGAAAATGAGCGAGAAGTTGGTTTGTATGCCACATCTAACAGTCTTAAAAATTCAGTACATAGCAACACCTGAGATGATTCATGGCCTCTCAAAAACCTGCTCTAAGCTTTATGAGTTGTCACTGGCAGGCTCAGAGAATATTACTGACCAACAGTGTGATGAAATTGCCAAATGTGCTGGACTAACATTGCTGGATATTTCTGGAACAAGAATTACTGGAAGAGGATGTTGGAAAATTCTAGATGCCATAAAAAGTCTGTCTTGGCTTCGTCATTGTGCTTTCAATTGTAATTCAGATGCACTTCTGTTTGAATCAAGAGCAGACTTATTTAACTGTATTAAAGAACAGTTGCGGCGCGGAGAAAATGCCATATCTTTGGTGGATCGGCCGGACCTTAGTCTCAGAGATGCCAGATTCAACCTGAAGAACTTCTGGCTCTTCAATCCCTTCACTGAAGACTTACTGACCTCACTGCTCTGTCCTGATTTGGAGAGCCTTCGTCTAGATTTTGTCTTCCAGGATTTAGAAGGAGAGCCGGACTTGACGATCCTCTCCTCACTCACCCAGGTTATTTTTGTTCTCTTTTGTTATAACTTAAAGACAGAAGTTGATTTAGATTAGGTTATTCTTGGTTAGGTTAGGTTTAGGTTATACAGTACTAGGTTAAGTTAGGTTATTCTAAGATAGATTACATTTGGTTAGATTAGGTTATGCTAGGTTAGATTAGGTTAGGTTATGCTATGCTATGGTAGGTTAGAATATAATAATATGTTGTTCTCTGTAGATACTGTATTTAATTTTACCTGTAATATAGAATGGGGAAACAAGAGTATATCTTAATGTCAGGCGTATAATAAGTTTTTTGTATAGCACATGTATACCTGTGTACAGTACAGTGCACTCTTATTTTTCCTTGTACAGGTGTATTAAATTTTTTTTTCTTTACTTTCTATGTTATTCTCTCTGATAATCAGCAATGCTGTACAACATATTAAGTATTGCACTGAAATAATATTTAGTAAAGGCAAGATCTAATATGAACTATTGTCATATTGATGATAGATTGGTACTACACTACACTATTCTTTTTCGAGTAGATTTTAATGAGTTTCAGTTGAATTTGATTTGATTTCATAGTTTAACACCACTTTAGAGTGACTAGGGAAGTGGCAGCTGAATGGGTACCGAGTATATCTATCACATCTTGTCCTAAGGGTTGTTGGTTCATGCCCAGTTTATCCAGATGTGAATGGGTGCCCAATTTTACAATTGGGGAAACTGAAGGTAGTTGAATGCAGTGCTGGCCACACTGTCTCCTTGTGTTCCAAAAAGCAGTCTATAGTATGGTGTATCTGCACTACCCTTAATGGACTGTTATGCTGTGAGGCCCATGGAAGAGTCCATTCTCATGTTATGCCTTAAATATACAGTATACTGTACATGCCATAGCCTATGATGTTTGCCAGATACAATGAGCCTTACTCTATTTACTATTGTAATTTATGTTGTCATTCTACACTGCTGAAATGCCAACTACCTTACCTTTTGTACCTGTGACCACTGTATTCTGTACCATTATTCATATCATTTTAATAGGCTGCCTTGTACCTTGTTATCTAGTGTAGGATGATGTAAGAAAATTATGAAACAAAAAACTACTTCTAAGAATTCTTTCATTAATCGTTCCAGATCAGGAACTTGGAGGCAAACTTGTACGACCGATGTTCTATTGACTTAGTTGGTCGTATGGTAGAAGGCTGTGGAAAACGACTAACGACCTTGGAACTGCACCTGGCTGATGACTGGTTCTTTGTTGCACAAGTATGTGAAGTGTAACTGTAGAGTTGTATTGATTATTGTTTATACCTGATGCTATATATTGATCTAGCTTGACGCTCCACGGGGTCACTCTACCGTTCTTCATTTCCTTGTACATGTGATGGATGAAGAGTATTAAGTCACTCTGTCAGTCTGACTGTGGTTAGTGATCATTACCACAGTCATTACTACAGGTGTATTACAAATTAAATTTATATACATAACAATATTAAAAAATTATATGCCTATATTTTACAATAGAGATCTAAACCTTTGATCCCTTGTGTATTGGGGTCCCCTCTGTGCCGAATAAAATTGTCGGGCATTAGCCAAATAAAATATTGAAAATTGCATTCCTGTAGTGAACTTTCTTTTAACAGACATCAATCTTAACCATACTCCCCTCTCCCCACAGGCTCACAATATTGTAGCCACCTGTTGCCCAAACCTGGTAACTCTCACCTTCTCTGGAGACTACAAGGTCAGTACACCTATGTTATGGTTTAATATGTACCTGTATTACAAATATACTTTGCCTTCATCACTTTATTTTCTTTGCATCAGTTTAAATGCAGTAAAACATCCCATTTGAATATTCAATAATTAATGCCTGGGATAACTACCCTGTAGTTGGCTGTAGATATTTCATTATGAATTCTTTTAACTTTATACTTAAATTTTATGCACTGTAAATTCCTGTAAAAGTTCCAATAGTAACAATAGATAATAAGGATGTTATTAATTCCTTTTTGATTGTAAATCTTTTAACCCTTAAATGGGAGCCATAATCAGTGAAAGTTAGCTGTAGGGATGGTGGCCATCATCTGGGGTAGTTTAATTTTTGTGCATATGGAGGGTGGGGGGGGTTAGGGAATCTTCAGTAGCTGGTTAAGGGTTAAAGAAGAAAAAATGATGACGAAGATTGTACAGCACTTGTATGTTTATATGAGCAGTTACAGTAAAAGAATAGCAGCTGATGGATGGTCCTGGGTAGTGATAAAAAGACAGGGATAAACCACATGGAAATATTGGGGTTTTTTGTGGAGATATACACCATAGTAGAACATATCTGTTACAGCAGATAGAGAGGAGTGTGACAGAAGATGATGGAGGAGTACATTATGTTGCAGGATTGAACCAAATTTAGGATCAGCTAAACATGTGGGAAGTCGGAGTTATATTGAGGAAATCAATAGATAAAATTAAGAGAAATAAATATTGAATGAATTTAAAGTATTAGTTTTAAATTTTTATCAGTCAACAACCAAGAAGTACTGTAAAATTATATGTACTGAGTCATACTCTTAAATGAAGGACTACAGTCCTTGTTTCTTACTGTAGAATTATATAGACATTAATATGTAGAACATAGTGTTGTGAGCAGGACCCAACACTATGACAGGAAGTTAGCTACTGTATATAACACAGGTTCTTCGGGCAAACTGCTAAAGGTTGTTGATGGCAGTAACATCTAATACTAAACTTGAAGGTATATGCTTATGATTTATAAAAGTAAAATATGGGTTTGCCAGTAAGGTAATGCAGTATTGCTTTCCTTTTTTTAATTTGAAAAATAATATGGTTTTCTAATGACTTATAATTACTGTATTTGGATAGACGGAAGCAGAACGACCAGATCGGGTAAGCCAGAAAATTTTTAGAATTTTAGTAAAGAGACTACTGTACTGGTATGTGTTGGAGCTCTAACCCTCATCACTCATTATAAACATATTGGTGCATGTTGGCTGAGTTCTACTTTTATTGTGGCATTAAATAAAGTACTATATACTGAAGTGTTTATTCACAAATTGGTATTGATTTTGAAGTTTTCTTTACTGCATAAATAATTTTTGTGTTATATTCCCAAAATTTACTTTTGAAAAAGTTTATATTTTTTTAATACTTTATACAGTATAGGTATGTAACTGTTTATCTAACCGGAAGGCTCCAAAAACCAGCTATGTTCAGGAACAAATTATTTAAAATGTGTGCCAAAAGTAATTCTCGGGCCGTGGAGGGATATTTTCAACCATTCTCCACCAGTGAGCTATATGTTATAATTATTTTTCAACTCGTAAATTTGGGTAGATAAACTGTATGTAATTTTCTTTACTCAGTTACATACACTCTCAATCTTACATACAGAAAAGATGAACAAAAAAAATCAAAGAAATTATTATCATAAGGTAGTATTGGGTACATTCTCAAAATATTCATTTTTTTTAATACGTTACATGCACACAATCTTACATACAGAAAGTTCAAAAAGAAATAAAGAAATAATTATCCTTAAGTATAAAGTTTTACGTATAGTATACGGATTTACATCTGTGAAGCTGTGTGGCGAGTGTGCAGGTTGGGGGTCCATTTTAAGTTTTAATGTTACAGTGTACAGTTAAAGCTACTTTATGGGTGAACTTAGTGATCTGAACAGAGGCTTCACAGTCAGTTACAGCAGGTTTACTGTACATTTTAGGCCTGGCATTCCAAATTCACCCACAAAACCTATCCAGCAACCCCCAGGTTCAAAGCGTGCCGTATAAATGTTCCCATACCTGTATTGATTTTGCTTGTATTTGTAGAGTTCAGGAATAATTATTTTGGTAAAACATGTTTACCATCTAAAAGGAACCATGTTGTTCTGCCAGGCTGGGAATAAATCTTATGACTAGTCTTAAGTGTGAAAAAAGTTTTATGGGAGATAAAGTCACCACACAGGTACAAGGCTGTTGGGTCATGGCATATAAGCAGTGGACCATCCTTCTGTCTCTTATATCAGTTACAAGATGACAGCCATAACAACAGTCCAAGTGTAGTGCACAACTGTGTTCACAATATACATGTCATGACTCCACTTGCACTATACAGAATGCACATTGGATAATTTTCTGTCTGTTCACTTGTCAAGAAGTGTTGACAGCTGGGCTACACAATCACTTGTGTTTCTTCGAATCATCTTTTTAATTCTTGGTGCAAGAGTTGTATTTTGTAGCAATCCTTTTCAAATATCATAGCTGTGTTAATTTTGTGGGGCTGATTTAGCATCTGACAGAGAAGATAACTTAGTGTCACCAGTGTAACTCAGCCAGTTGTATGAACATAGTTGTATTAACAGGGAAGGGATTCCATGCCAATTTGTGAATGACCAGTTAAAAAATGATTCAGGAATCAGGATTTATTAATTTGTCATGACTGGTTTTCAGTGTATGGGGTCCACAGGCCTGCACAATGTGACAGCATTTTAAGGGTTCTTGAGTGATCCATTCTCTTCTAAATTAAAACTTAAAGGTTCCTTCAAGGGGCCAGTGGTTTTTACCTGTGTAATGAGAGTAATATGGGTTTTGATTCATTTACTCACTTGTCAGAGTTTCATCATCAACAGTGTTTTCCAAGAGTGGGACACAACACTTAAGACATGTCCTAATTCAATCACACCCCAAGGAGAGACAGGGATAATAAGGTTTTATGTATAGTATAAGGCACTCACTTCCATTATGTTATCAGCTTGTTACACATGACCATTCCCTTAGAACTTGAAAATATGGTCAGTATTTTTGACATACTGTTCTTATGGAAGTAAAAGCAGATTTTCACCCATGGTGAATGATTCATAAATTAGTTTGTCCTTCAAATCATATTCATACTAATTGTATGACAGTTGCTCCATGACCAGACATTCTTGTACCCTTGTCATAACTTGTGTTGTTTGCTGGGTAGATTCCTCGGGATACAGTATATGACAAGCTGCATCTTTGATAGAGATCATTTACATTGTGCTTAAAGCATTGATCTTTAGAAAGAGGTAAACCCTTTATGTGAAGGGTTCAAGTGTTGGTTGCCCTTCTTTTGTTAATAACATTAGATTTCAACAAAACAAGGCTCAAACTTTCAAAGGTGGAAGTGACACAGGGACAAATTCCCAAGGAAGGAGTGTATACTGACTGTGTGACCTTGGAATGTATGTAAAGTAAGGTTTATACATGTTATCTTCCCAAGGTGTTTGCCATGGACAGTTGCAGCTGTTTCTGATTTTCTTATCTTCCTCATATCAGGCCGAGTCCCCTGGTATAGTTTTTGTAGTATAAATGATGGATTGTTTCTGAAACCCCATATTATAACTAAGATAAGATGGAAGAACCAGTTACCCTCCTTCCTCCCAAGGGTAATTTGCCATATGTATTTCATGGAACATGGTTTGTTGTTGTGGCTGACTGACAGTCCTACCATAAGTGGGCCTCTTATTTGTAGAAAACCCGTTTTACAAGCTTTTGGTTATAATATGAAGTTATAATATTAATTAGATTAGTTACCAGTTGTTATTATTGTTAGGGGTTAGTCTGGGTTCTCACTCTCTCTTCATTTGGCTGGCAGAATCACATGGATCCTCTGGCCTGTTCTCTGTTACAATATGGGACTAAAGGATTGATATATTATTTTTAATTTGATGATACCGTATACAGAACCATTTAATGAGTAGAGAGAGACAGCTGTGACAGTTGTTAAAAGTGAATTCAATGGCCTGAAGAATGGATTGCTACTTTCACAATGCTGTACTAGCAAATACAGTCACGAACAAAAGTCCTGTAGCTTCTCCTGCTGAGCCACAAACCATGAGATTCAGACTTACGAATCCAAATCATTTGTGGAAAGAATAATGCATCAGTGTCTACCACTTCTGGTTCATGGTTCACAAGATTGAGTCTCAGGGTTCGTGGAGCAGCAGGAGAGGCGACAGGACTTTAGTTCACAACTGTACAGCTTGTCCTAGAGGATGGATGGATAAAGTCTAACAAAAATTGAGAAAAACTCACAAGTCAATACCTGATACTGTACATAACTTAAGCTCTGTATTGTTGTTGATGCTGCAAAATCAGTAGATATAAGCCAGTTTGCATTGAAAAGATTGTGTCACATAAGTGACTTTAACCTAGCTTAACTGAACCAAATCTAACCTTACTTAACTTATCTTAGCATAAGCTAACTTTACTTCAGATTACATGATTATGTTTTAAGAGGAACTCTGTGAGTCCTTTTTCATCAGAATATTCTTTATTCTAAGTTTATTTCTTGCCTCGTCTAGAACTTTTTCTCCATTAATACTCCATTTATATGGTACAACAGTGGAGTACAGTACCTGCTTCTCACTACTGCAATTGTGAGTTTTAAGTCACTGGGTCAGATGTGAGAAGGATGTTATCCAGTGTGACTTATCTTTGGATACTCTGCTGTCCTTCTGTACTATTATTGGACAGTGAAGGTCTTAACAAAGAACAGATGTGGATATTATATCAGCTGCCCACCTAAACAGCTAGTAAGCTGACAAGTTGGGAAAGTGATTACAGTATATAGTCGAACTATATACACGCAGTAATTTTGAGGGGTTAAATTCATTCATTTCCGTGGTCATTTATGGAGGAAGATAGCTAACCTTACCAGTAAACTCCTAGATTTTTTCTTCGTGTTGCTACATGAAGAGCAGAACCTCATTCACTATACAGTATACCCCGGTATGCCACTTAAAATCTACAAATCCTGATACAAATGAAGATATGTATACTGTACTGTACAGATAATTTTCCTTTCGTTTGCATCTGAATACATTGCTGGTGGCATTGTTGCCAAATTAGATTCGTCACTCTAACTACATCCCCCCTTACTCGC